ATTATTATTATTATTATTATTATTATTATTATTATTATTATTATTATTATTATTATTATTATTATTATTATTATTAATTATTATTATTATCAATTGTTAATTATTATTATTGTTGTTGATAAATTACTATATTATTACTATTACTATTAATTGTTATTTATTAATTATTGTCATATTCTTTTGTGTTTGAATACTTCAGGTTGGTTCAAGATTGTTCGCATCATTATTTGGCACATTTTCGATTTGATAAGATTACTAATTTTTTATCATGAACTTTTGAATATTAATATGGTAGTTTTAATGTTACCGGGATTTGATCATATATTTTTCATTTCCGATAGATGAGTAATATTTTAGATTAGCTTGAAGATTCTTGAAATAATATCCCTTTGCCAGTTGGACATTTCAGATCATATCCTCATAGGCCATGAAAACCTCTAAGGTCAGGTTACTAGAAAAGGTTGTATTCCGGAAATGACAATTCATAATTGAGTTAAGTGCAGTCGATCTTTCTGTTGCTAATCCTTTTCTAGCTACTTCTAATTGCTGAATTAATAGAAAGATGACTTTTTCTCCCTGTACATAATTGCTGATTATGAAAGAGAAAGGGGAAAAAAAATAGAAATGATTTTCGGAGTTGTTAATTAATGAATTAATTAACTTATGTCGTTTAGCATTATTTGTTAACAATGATAACAACTACTATAGTTGTTATCATTGTCATCAATTCTTTTATTGTCTGCAAAGTAGACATAACACTAATTATTGATAGTGTAGAAAAGAATACAGCTATCACAAAAAGCCTTACTTATATTGCAAAATTCTTACTTGAGAGAGAAGGAGAGAGAGGAAAATATACTTTTCCTGTCTAACTATAAGACCAATAAGATTCCAAGCTACTAGAAAGGTTAAAGATCGATTCCTAGTCGATATATGGATTAATCGAAAAATCGAAATGATACATTGGAAATAGTAGTAGGCTAATGAAGCATGAGAGAGTGTCTTTTAATCGACAAAAATTGGAATTCCATTTGCTGCCCATTGATTATCCATATTTGCAAATGGATAACGATCGAATTATCAATAACTTGAGAGGGGAGGACAAGCTTCTTCTCTGGTATTGATACCCGATTTTTGGATTGCGCCATCCTTCCAACGGTAATCGATGTAGTTCTGCCGTGTATATGTGTGTGTGTGTGTGTGTGTGTGTGTGTGTGTGTGTGTTGTATGTGTATGTGTATGTGTGTGTACATATATACTCGACGAATGTTGGGATATATAATAAAATCAATTTCGTACGTTGAAAGTTTAAAAAGAGCTTTTAATATTGTTAACAGAGAGGCGTCCATGACAATTGCAAAAAGAGAAATGAAAACTGGCGAAAAAAGTGATAGACGAGTAATTGTATTATAATTATAAATATAATTATAATTATAATAATTGTAGTGATTGGAATAATAATAATATTATTAAAAAAATTATAATGATAAAAATGGGATTTTAATTATTGATGGAAATGTTTATGCAAAGATAAAAGGACCATATAATGATGAATAATTACTACGATAGTAATATTATTTTCCATTATCACGATAATCATATCTATAATATTATCAAATATAATCATCATAATAGTTATTGTCAGGAAAGCAAAAAGGGTGCTGCATATTTTGTAAAGTGAATTTACTTGAAAACCACTGTAAGGATGAGACTTAAGTTTCTTTTCTTTTTTTTTCAAATTTTCAGATGTCCTCAAATTTATATCAAATATGCATCATATACTGGTTAGCATGTATTACGATTATTTGTGTCATTCGAGTATTAACCCTCGGAGAAATTGGGAAATCAGGTAATATTCGATTCTTTTTTTTTATTTTTACTGAAATTGAAAATGATTTATATATGCGTATATGTGTTTGGATGCTTATTAATAAATATTTTTTGAAATTGCCAATTTTCATGTTTTTTTACCTGAATTATTTAAAATTGATGAGTATTATTGATTTCTCTTTTTTTTTGTTGCAGAAACAGTTATGGGTCTTATTTATTTTGGCAAATTAAGAAACGATTACAATTTCGGTACTTGGTTAAAGATGATTGAAGTACCGAAAAGGTTTGTTTGTTTATTTTTTTTTCCTACTCAATTTTTCCGTTCATACTATAAAATTTTTTCACAAACATTACAAAATCAATTAAAACTTTTCAAATTTAATCCTAAGCCGTTTCAATTTTTTTGTCTTATCTTTTTTTTTTTTGATAATTTATTTAAGATGGTTTTGGGTTTTTTACTTAATCGCTTCCATTGCTGTTCTGCTTGCTTTGGTCATTATTGTTATTGATGGCCAGTTACGATACAGCAGTGGTATGTTGTTTCTAACAAATTACATTTTCAACCTTTTTAAATATAATTTTTATTTTTTTGGAGAACTAATTAAATAAAATGATTTTTGCATATTCTTTTATTACAATTCAACTTATCTCTTCTAGCAAGCGAAGAATTTTTGAAGATTGCTACAAGGAAAGAATTGTTAATGATTTGCAATAATCTGTATTTTAATTTCTGTTTCTGTTTTTCATTTTTTTTCCTTTTTTATTTTCTTTTTTATTTTTCTTATTTTATTTTTACTTTTTTATTTTATTTATTGTTTTTTGCTTTT